TCCTCCTCCTCCTGTTCTTCGTCCTCGTCGTCTTCGTCCTCGTCCTCAACCCTCGCGCGCCTCCGCCACTCGCGCTGGCCGAGCCCGCTGGCTCACCACGCTGTGGGTCACCAGCCAAAGGGCGCTCGCAGGCGCGCTGGTGTGTGTCGGAACGGAGCACAGGAGCGCCTCAGGTGGCGTCGAAGTGCCAGCGTTAGAGGCATGGCTCGATGATGGGCCGTAACCGTGGCAGTTTTTCTTTCCCGTATTCCTCCTCCTCCTCCTCCTCCTCCTCGTCCTCCTCCTCCTCCTCCTCCTCTTCATCATCGTCCTCCTCCTCCCCCCCCCCTCCCCCTCCTCCTCCTCCTCCTCCTCCTCCTCCTCCTCCTCCTCGTCCTCCTCGTCCTCCTCGTCCTCCTCCTCCTCCTCCTCCTCCTCCTCCCTCGCTAAAAGGAAAAGCCATGGAAGGACCTAAGGAGTCTAAAGAGCAACGAGCCCCTTCCGAACCAGAAGTCTTCCTTAGTTCAGCGTCTAGACTCTGGGTCCCATTCGGCAGGCATGCCGATGGGAGAAGGCCGACACTCAGGTCTGAGTACCCAGGCAACGCGTCCTCGCCCCCCCATTTTATTTTCGCATGATTGAAAACGAACCGTCCGACTGGCATAGCGACCGCCCGACCAACCACGGGAGCCTCAGACATAGGGCATACAATCCTAGAATGCCGCGCATTTCGACGTTGGCGACACCCCATTGGCAGCAACGCAGTTTTTGGGACTACCGCGCAAAACGAGTCGGGACCCTCGTCCAAAAAGCTGCATTGCTGCTGTCTGCAGCTTGCGCGCGACTGCTGAATGCATCATCACGTCCAGCTTCTCCCCCTCGTCTGGCGCGCGTGTCACTGCAGCGAACCACCATGGCCTAGCCTTCAATGCAGTCTGGCAGGCTCCGAACCCCCAGGGGAGGAGGATAGGGAGGGAGGACGAAAAACACACCTCAACAATCACCCCCCAGATCTCTCCTGGAGCAATCCTGGCCAGCATTTCGAGGCGGCCCTGGCCATAACAACATATTACTAACCGTACTTAACATCAAACACGATGGGAGGGGGATGAAGGAGATGAACGAGCGAGCTATCCCCACAGGCCCCCCCCGCGACTACAATGAAGGCACCCCGAGAATTTACGTCTGCTGCGCCAGGAATGGAGGGGCTCCACCGATCCGCCGACAGCCGACCGGTCGGGTGCTGGCGGCAGTGGGTTTACAAGAAGGGTTTAAGCCGAACTGGTAACCGTGAACCGGCGGATCCTGCATCCGAGCCGCCCAAACCGGAGCCCAAACCGGACTGGCTGAAACTGAACCGGCCAGTTCGAACCGAACCGGCGGAACCGAACTGATCCCCAGGAGCCGCACTCGGAGACCCTGACACCGCTCTAGGGGACACCACGAAACGGCCCAAGAGAGCTCCAGGGCAGCGCAGGAGAGTTCAAGATGGCCGAAAAAGGCCCCCAAGAGGGCCCCCAAAGATCTTCTCGACGCCCCCAAGAGGCTCCCCAAAGAGCTTCGCTTCGCGACGCCCCCCGACGGATGAGGAGGGAAGGAAGAGGAAGGAGGAGGGGGGAGGAGGGAGGGAGGGAGGGAGGGAGGAGCAGGAGGAGTAGGAGTAGGAGGAGGCGGAGGAGGAGGTGGAGGAGGAGGAGGAGGACCTTCGCGACTCCCCGGCCCGAACCCCCCGGTCTGGACCCCCCCGCGGTCCGGACCCCCCGGCCCCGGATGGCGGGGAAGCGCCCCAGAGAGCCCCACGAAACGGCCTCAGACGACTCCAGGAGCGCTTTAAGGAGCTTCGCGACGCCCCCCGACGGAAGGCCAAGGCAAGCCGCCTTCGGGCCCTCGAGGCTCCCCAGACCTCGCGGTCAGGACTCCCCGGTCCAGACCCTCCGGTCCGGACCCCCCGGTCCGAACCCCAGGTCCGGACCCCCCGGTCCGGACCCAGTCGGCCCCAGGAGCTCTCGGGCAGGCGCGGGCCGACGACGACGGCGACGTGCGCGAGGGCGGCAGCGACCCGGCGGCGGCGGCGGCGGCGGCGAGGCAGGGGCCCCAAGCAGTTATCCGAAGATCTGTTTTTTGAAATCCACGACGGCTCATCCGAGTGCGACGGCCCCAGGGCTCGAAAACACCCCCCCCAGAAGCCGAGATCGATGGAAGCCACGAGGGGTGAGAAAATCGTGCCGTCGGATAGCTGTGACGAGGGCGGCGAAGCCGCTTGGCGCACGACGCCGTCGGGGATGGCGCCGTCGGCGATCACGCCGTCGGGACGCCGACATCGTCGTCGTCGCCGCCGCCTTCGCTCCTTCCCCTCCCCCTCTTGCTCCCCTCCCCCTCCCCTTGCTCCTCTTCCTCCTCCTCCTCCTCCTCCTCCTCCTCCTCCCACTCCTGCTCATGTTTTTTGCGCGGTTCGATCCGCGGCCGCAACATGCAACAATACTCGTTGGCTCGCCAACCTTTCGGTCACCCGAACTGGACCGCCCGAAATCAAACCGTCCCGAGGCAAAACCGAACCGGCTCAAATCAGACCGGTGCCGAAACCGAACCGCTGCAACCGAACCGGCCCGCCGCCGAACTGGCCCGAACCCGATCCTTGCTGGGTTTAGCGCGACCTGGTTCAGTGATGCGTACCAGGAGACACCCCTCCGCCCCATTCCACTAACCAAAACTGCCGCCACCCGAAGAAACACCCAATACGGAGTGGCCCAATCATTCACCAGCTCCCCTTGCCCAGGGTCCTGGCCATATCTCTCTCTCTCTCTCTGACAGCTTGACAGGATGAACGCAGCACACCTATTAAGCAGAGCACTGCGTCAGCAGAACAAATCACTTAAGAGGGGTGCGGGCGTGGGTCGCCCGGGGACTCGCTCTCGCAGCGCACGCGCACCCTCCTGCGAGCATCCGCGCATGGCGCCCGATGCACGCCCCCTGGACTCAGGCGCGCCACGCGTTCTCGCAGCGTGCAACGTCTCGTGCCAAGATGCCCCGCTTCCTGTGCGCGCCCGAGAAACGCCCGCGCGAGCGCTTCCTGCGAGCGCGCCCGTAAGCCGGCCCGCAACCGCGCCTCTGAGCGCGCCCTACAAGGCGCTCTCGAATGAGACCGCTATGCGATTGGGCGTTTCGCTCGGGACATCCCTGCAAACTCGACCCTGTGACCGCTGACTTCCTCAGGGGTGCGAGGGGGGCGGTCGATGCCACGGGGCGACCTCTGGGGCGCACTCGGTTGTCAGACTTCCACGAGCCAGACCCAGCGTTCTGGTCGAACCCGACTCGGAGGACGACGAAGGCATCCTTGAAATTAGAATGCCCCCAACCTCACATGTCAGTGAGCCTCCAACCGCAACCCTTTGCGACAACCAACGCCGCATGCGTCGATGTCCCTACGCATTGCCATGGTGGGCCGCCCCCTAAGTTCCAGGCTCTTGGGCCAACTAAAACCAAAAATAATTTAAGGATACACGTCCCTCAGATGATACTATAACTATCCGACTCCGTATGACAAATCCGGCGACCGGCGACCGACGATCGCCGACCGGCGAACGGCGACAACCAACCAGCGACCGGCGACAACCGACCGGCAACAGCCGACTGGCGACAGCCGACTGGCGACAGCCGACTGCCGACTGGCGACAGCCCACCAGCGGCACAGCGGCAGCCGACCAGCGACCAGCGACGGCCGACCAGCGACCAGCGCGAGCCAACCACCGACGGGCCACCGGCGACCGAGCGGCGACAGCCAACCAGCGACTGGCGGCAGCCGTCTGGGCGACAGCCGACCAGCGACCGGCGACAGCCGACCGGCGAGCGGCAACCGCCGGCCAGCGAGGAGCCCGCCGCCGCCCGTCGCCCCGGCAGCCGCCGAGCGCTCACCTCCTCGTTACCGATAGGACAGGATTCACAGACAGATCGTTTGATGGGAAATTGAACTGATAGTCAAACAAATCCTCAACTGCAGCGTGCCGACCTGCGTTTACCGATGTGCGAGTTCAACTCCGGCACCACCGCCCGCCCCGAATCAGTGCTCTCGCGTTGACGCTGGTCTCGCGCCGTGTGCAACGTGGCCGAACTACACGCTTTTCTCGGTGAATCGTTGCTTTGATGCGCGCCTCGCGCTTCGCCCGCAGCGGAGGCGCGCGCGATGGCATCGGCGCGTGCGCGCGGATCTCCAGCGCGCGCCAATCCCGCCGCGCGCCACGCGCGCGCGCGAATGCATCAATGCGCTTGGAATCCCAGCACGGGCGCGAGCCTTCCAGGCGCGCGGAGCGCGCGACGACAAATCGCCCGACCAAACCGCGTGACAAATTTACCCCATTACAATTTGAACGGCGCTTGCGCAATTTTTGTGGTACGTCTTCCGAAAGCATTTTGTCGTCGCTCCTTCGGATTTTGCCGCGGCTCTAAGCCGCCAGCGGAATGTGTCGACCGCCGCATGTTTTGCCGTTGGCAGTTTTTTTGTTGTTGTTCAAATTCGTCGTCGGCCTCATTTTTGTTTGTCGTCGGACTTTTTTGTGTTGTCGTCGGCCCTTTGTTGCTGTCGTCTCTTCTTTTTGGTGTCCTTCACGGTCGGATTCAGAGTTGCACTCGTGCTCTTAAACATGTTTGGGGTTTCGCGGCCGGATACATATTCCATGCGTTTCGCGTTTCGCGCGCCCCCATCATCCCGTCTGGAAACGATGCCCAGGCGTTGCTCATGAAGTTCGATTCTTGTTCCTCGCCCACCCCTGTGAAAGACCGAGAACAACCGCTGGGGAGGGTTCAACGTTAACAGCGTTTGAGACGCCAGACGGGCGCCGAGGCTTCGTTCATAAGGATCAAAACAATGTTGTCGTTCGTCTTTTTTGTAATCCTATGGAGATGGAAGGAGTGAAATCGCCGCCACCGCTGGCTAGGCGCCAGTCCGCCGCCGCTGGGGGTCGTCGCCTCACGCTGGCCGCCGAAGTCTGCCAAAGCGCGGCGACAGCCGCGCCGCGCGGCGCCTCTCTGCGCGGGCCGCCACTCTGAGGTCTGTCGGGCGCCGCGCCCGCGTCTGGCGCCCGCGCCGACGCCCTCGCCGTGCCGCCGACACGGAGGGCTCGGGAAGGAGGGGGCCCAGGGATCCGAGGAGATGAGTTTTTCAATCCAGCGCTTTTTCCTGGACTTCGGCCTCCAGGGCCCTTCTCTGGCCTGGGGGCCGTCAAACATGGATCCGAGACGAAAACCACCCTTGGGGAAGGGGTCGGGGCCTCTGGGGCCGCCAGTGATATATATATATATATATGTATATATATGAGTATACATATATATATAACATGTATATATGTATGAACATATGTACACATATATATATATATATATATATGTTTGTATATCTACATATCCATATATAGCTGTGAATATATTGTATGTCTTTACATATATGTATATATGTATATATATATATATATATCGGCGGATGCCTGGGGGCGATGAAGCCCAGATCTCCAGCGTCTCGAGAAACTCGAGGCGGAGGCTTTTCGCAGTTTTCGGCCTCCAGGGGCCCTCGCCGGGCCCCAGAACCGTCAAGAAACGACTCAGGATGAAGAGGCAGCCTCGGAGAAAAGGTCCAGACCTCGAGGGGCTTCGCATTGAGAAGCTCGAGACGTCGGATGTCTGGAAAAGGGGAGGGGGGCAGGGCTGAGCAGGGAGGGAAGGGAGGCCACAAAGCCTGGGTGAGCCTTCGTGATTGCCTCTGTGGATCTCCGCGGCCCGATCATGAACGTGACTTCGACCAGAGCTCCTCCAGACTTCGACCACCCCTCTTCACCATTTTGTCCACACGTCGTCCAAACTTCGTCCCGATGTCGACCGAATCCGACGAAATCTAGGCAAAATCAAGCCGCAACGAATTTGGGGACCCTCTGATCAGCGACGAGCTGGGGGGGAAGTGGGAAGGGGCGGACCTTCCCAGAGGTCTCGGAAGTTCCCCAGCCATCTGATAAGTTTCTGCCTCCCCCGAAGACACAGGAAGCCTCTCAGAAGGCCGGAGGCCTTCTGAGAAGTATCGCCGCCTTTTTAGAAGGCCTTCTCCTTCTCCTTTCCCCCTTCGCTCGCCGTCGAAGTATGCTTCGTTGTGTGTGTCAGCATGCTCGCCCCTTGGGTCTTGAGAGGGCCCAAGACGGCCCACGAGTGCCCCAAGATCGCCCCTGGCGGCCCCTGGGCGAGCCCAAGAGGCCTCCAATATAGGCCCAAGAGGGGCCCCAAGGGGGAGCAAAGGGGAACCCTCCCACGTCAGAACTCCTCTCGGCGCGCGGAAAAAAACACAGCAAAACGTTTTCGGTGTCCGGGCGACCTCACCAGGCCCAGGTGCCGCCAAGAGAAACGGCACAGGATGAAGAGCCCGTCCCGAGGAGAAGGTCCAGAGCTCTGGGGGTCCACGTGGTGAAAAGACACGGCGTCGGAGATGCGGGGCAGAACAGGGAGACGATGGGGAAGGGGGGAGGGGCGGCAGGATGGGGGGGAGGACACGTCCAAACGCCAGAGCGCAATGGCAGGGCTCGAGCTAAACAGAGTTGTTCGTGTTCATTTTGCTTTCGTGCTCCTTCGTTCTGTCTTCGCTCTGCCTTTGCTGCGAAGCGGAATCAAAACGAAAACGGTTTAGACAATCGCCAACACAACGTTTAGTTCGAGCCCTGGTGAGAAGACACGGCGTCGGAGATGTGGGGCAGAACAGGGAGACGAAGGGGGAGGGGGGGGAGGGGAGGCAGGAGAGAAGTTCGCATGTCGCATAGGCGCTCTTCCCGAACGTCCACAAAGGGTACCAAGTGGACTTCACTATCCACGCAAGTTCAGACGTGCCGCTGACCCCGCACGTCCGCAAAAAGAACCAGATTGAATTCACGATCCGCGCAAATTCCCACGTGCCGCTCACCCCGAACGTCCACAACGGATACCAAATGGAATTCACCATCCGCGCAACTTCAGTCACCGCTCACCGCGAACGTCCACAAAAGATACCAGGTGAAGTTCACTACCCGCGCGAATTTAGATGTCGTTCTTACCCCGAACACCCACAAAAGATATGAGGTGGAGTTCACGACCCGCGTGAGTTCAGAAATTGTTGGAGGATGTCTCGAGCGAAACGCTCTGGTTTTAACAAAACTGTTGAAACAACCCATAGTTTATTCCATACTTTCGCCTTCGAGGACCCGTCCAAAGGCAATTGTTGGAGGATGTCTCGAGCGAAACGCTCATTGATAAACAAAACTGTTAAAAACCCATTGGTTTTCCGATTCTTGGGCAATCTTGGAGGTCATCCGAGATGCCCCAACAAGACGACTTGCAAGAGCTCTTGGCGCGTCCCATTTTGTTCGAGGATGTCTCAGGCGAAACGCCCATTTTCGAGGATCCGAAAATTTGGCGAGCGATTTCAAGATCTCCATTTTTTGGAGGATGTCTTGGGCAGAACGCCCATGTTTAGCAAAAGACGTCTTCAGATACGACCCCCAACTTCACGATTTGGCGAGGATGTCTCAAGCGACAGGCTCGTTTTTGGGAATCTTTCTTGACATGAACGGGAAGCGTGTGAAATCAAAGAGCTTGGCAAGAACGTGCACCAACATCAAGTTCGCATGTCGCGTAGGCGCTCTTCCCGAACGTCCACAGGGGGTACCAAGTGGACTTCACTATCCACGCAAGTTCAGACGTGCCGCTGACCCCGCACGTCCGCAAAAAGAACCAGATGGAGTTCACGATCCGCGCAAATTCCCACGTGCCGCTCACCCCGAACGTCCACAAAAGATACCAAATGGAATTCATCATCCGCGCAAGTTCAGTCACCGCTCACCGCGAACGTCCATAAAAGATATCAGAAGGAGTTCACTACCCGCGCGAGTTTAGACGTCGCGCTTACCCCGAACGCCCACAAAAGATATCAGGTGGAGTTCACTACCCGCGCGACTTCAGAATTAGTTGGAGAATGTCTCGAGCGAAACGCTTTGTCTTTAACACAACTGTTGAAACAACCCATCGGTATTTCAATCATTTCGCCTTCGAGGACCCGTCCAAAGGCAATTGTTGGAGGATGTCTCGAGCGAAACGCTCATTGTTAAACAAGACTGTTAAAAACCCATTGGTTTTCCGATAAATTTGCTTCTTGGACAATCTTGGAGGTCATCCGAGATCGCCCCAAAACGACGACTTACAAGAGCTCTTGGCGCGTCCCATTTTGTTAGAGAATGTCTGAGGCGAAACGCCCATTTTCGAGGATCCGAAAATTAGGCGATCGATTTCACGATCTCCATTTTTTGGAGGATGGCTCGGGCGGAACGCCCATGTTTAGCAAACTACGTCTTCAGATGCGACCCCCAACTTCACGATTTGGCGAAGATGTCTCAAGCGAAAGGCTCGTTTTTGGGAACCTTTCTTGACATGAACGGGAAGCGCTTGAAATCAAAGAGCTTGGCAAGAACGTGCACCAACATCAAGTTCGCATGTCGCGTAGGCGCTCTTCCCGAACGTCCACAAGGGGTACCAGGTGGACTTCACTATCCACGCAAATTCAAACGTGCCGCTGACCCCGCACGTCCGCAAAAAGAACCAGATGGAGTTCACGATCCGCGCAAGTTCCCACGTGCCGCTCACCCCGAACGTCCACAAAAAATACCAAATGGAATTCACCATCCGCGCAACTTCAGTCACCGCTCACCGCGAACGTCCACAACAAATACCAGGCTCTGTGTTTGAAAAAACTGTTGAAACAACCCATCGGTTTTTCAATAATTTCGACTTGGAGGACCCGTCCGAAGGCAATGTTTGGAGGATGTCTCGAGCGAAACGCTCTGTGCTTAACAAAACTGTTCAAAGCCTATGAGCTTTCCAATGATTTCGCTTCTTAGGCCATCTTGGAGGTCCTCCAAGAGCGCCCACCAAAAGATGTCGTTCAACAGCAACTTCAGCATTTCATATGTTGGAGGATGTCTCAAGCGAAATCTGCATTTTCGTTGGATCCGAAGGTTTCGCCAGCGATTTCAATGTGTCGATTTTCTAAGGATTTCTCAGTCGAAACGCTCATCTTTAGCATAAGAGGTCTTAAAGCAGCTGTTTCAACATCATTTTTTGTTCGAGGATGTCTCATGCAAGAGCCCCATTCTCGAAGATCCAAAGATTTCGCGACCGATTCCACCATCCTCATGTTGTGAGGATGTCTCAGGCGAAATCGGCATATTTGACATAACACGTCTTAAGCGATAGCCTCCCACATCTCCATTTTGTGAGGATGTCTCAAGCCAAATTGCCAATCTGGGGAATCCGCATGGGTTGAATCACGACGCGACCCCGACACACTCCCCCCTCCGCACCCCCCCAGTTGATAGATATTTCCCTCCAGGCCTATACCAACGTCCATCGCGCGACCCTTCGAGGCTGAGCGCGCTTCCCGTCATCCGCCAGGTCTTGATCAGAAAGCAAACACGATAACCTCCCCTCCTGCACCTCCCCAGTTGATAAATATTTCCCTCTGGGCCCGCGCCAACGTCCATCGCGCGACTCTTCGAGTGTATGCTCGCTTCCCGTCATCCCGCCAGGTCTTCATCAGACAACAACGCCGAGACCTTCCCCCCTCAAACTGCCCCCAGTTGATACTATTTTCCTGAGGGCCCGCGCCAACGTCCACCGCGCGACCCTTCGGGTCTAAGCGCGCTTCCCGTCATCCGCCAAGTCTGAATCACAGACCAACGCCGAGACCTTCCCCCCTCAAACTCCCCACACTTGATAATATTTCCCTCCGGGTTCGCACCAACGTCCATCGCGCGTCTCTTCGAGTCCAAGCGCGCTTCCCGTCATCCGCCAGGTCTCCGCGGAGGCGCAACCCCGCCACCACTCCCCCCTGGACCCCCCCATTTGAAACATGTTCGCCCCTCCGGGCCTGTAACCAACGTCCATCGCGCGACTCTACGATTCTACGCGCGCTTCCCGTCATCCGCCAGGTCGCGGCGGAAGCGCGACCCCGCCACCAGTCCCCCTTGGACCCCCCACTTGACAAATATATTCCCCTCCGGGCCTGGGTGCGACGTCCACCGCGTGATTCTTCGAGTCTAAGCGCGCTTCCCGTCATCCGCCAGGTCTGAATCTTTCGAATACCCGAGC